CCGCTCGTGGCTCAGGTCCAGCCTGCGCGCGGCTTACCCCAGGTGGTTTCTCTCCTGGGTGCTTGGCTTGCGCCGGCGCGCGGTCTGATCCATGCCCGCGCGCGGTCTGCTCCAGGCGATTTTTCTCGCTTCCTTTTCTTGCTTGCCCGCTCTTGGGCACTCCTAGCCCGGCGTGGGCTTCCCTTGGGTGTGCAAAACTCCAAATTTTGGCCTGATGCTGCTCCAAACTTGCGGAATGACTCCAATATTATTTCCTACATGACCTGATTAAACTAAAATATACAAAATAACAGCCAAATAAAAGATTAGTGTGCACTAATTTAAAAATTCTAACTAAAAGAAATTAAAGATAAATAAAAATTAGTAAGAAAAATTAGAAAATGGGTTGCCTCCCAACAAGCGCTGTTGTTTAACATCGTTAGCTCGACGGAGTGTTGAGGTATTTATTCGGAGAAGGTGATCTTATGAACATAGCGTACAAATTCTCCTTCGAAGTAGTGCTTCAATCTTTGGCCATTGACTACAAGAGGTCTCTTTTCGTCTCCTTCGATCTCAATTGCACCATAGGGATGAACTTTAGTCACAACAAAGGGACCGGACCATCTAGATTTCAATTTTCCTGGAAACAATTTAAAGCGTGAGTTAAATAAAATAACTTTCTGACCCACTTTAAATTCCCTCCTTAGGATATTCTTGTCATGCCAAGCTTTGGTCCTTTCCTTGTAAATTCGAGCATTCACATAGGAATCTCTTCGAATCTCTTCAAGCTCATTCAATTGCAACAATCGCTTCTCCCCAGCTGACTTGAGATCATAATTAATTGCCTTCACCGCCCAATAAGCCTTGTGCTCAATTTCAACCGGTAAATGGCAAGATTTACCATACACAAGTCGATAAGGTGACATGCCCAAAGGAGTCTTAAATGCAGTCTTATAAGCCCAAAAGCATCATCAAGCTTCCTTGACCAATCTTTTCTAGTATTACTAACCGTTTTCTCCAAGATAGCTTTGATTTCACAGTTAGATACTTCTACTTGCCCACTCGTTTGAGGATGATAAGTGGTTCCAGATTTGAAAGTGCACCCATACTTACGCATCAATGTCCTGAACTGATCATTTTGAAAGTGAGTACCATTATCACTAATGATAGCACGAGGAACTCCAAATCTAGAAAAGATGTTTTTCTGAACAAATTTAACCACACTAGATCCCAAGTTGTCAGGCAATGCAACAACTTCCACCCATTTAGAGACATAATCAACAGCAACAAGAATGTACCTATTCTTACCAGATAAAGTGAAAGGTCCCATAAAGTCAAGTCCCTAAACATTAAAGATTTCTACTTCTAGAATACCTGATTGAGGCATCTCATGTCTTCTACTTATGTTTCCAGTTCTTTGACATTGGTCACATGACATTACGAAACTCATTGCATCCTTAAAAAGTGTATGTCAAAAAAAACCACATTGAAGTACCTTGGCAGCCGTTTTAGAAGCACCATGATGTCCTCCACAAGGAAGTGAATGACAATGAGTGAGAATGGAAACCATCTCTTCCTTAGGAACACATCTTCGAATGACACCATCAGCACATCTATGGAATAAAAGTGGATCATCCCATATGTAATGCTTAACTTCCGAAAAGAACTTCTTCTTTTGGTGATGATTAAGACCCAATGGTACTTCATCTGAGACCAAGAAGTTTACAAAGTCGGCAAACCATGGGACATTAGCATCCTTTACCGCCATTAAATTCTCATCAGGAAAGCTATCATTTATTGGTACATCATCCACCTTATCTTCTTGCTCCAATCTCGAAAGATGGTCTGCAACCAGATTTTCGGACCCTTTCTTGTCTCGGATTTCCAAATCAAATTCTTGCAAGAGTGGAATCCATCTAATTAGTCTTGGTTTGGTGTCCTTTTTTATCAATAAATACTTCAAAGCAGAATGGTCAGTATAAACCACAACTCTGGAACCAACAAGATAAGATCTAAACTTCTCAAAAGCATAAACAACAGCTAGCAATTCTTTCTCAGTGGTAGCATAATTAATCTGAGCATTATCTAAAACCTTGCTAGCATAATAAATAACATGTAACCTCTTATCTTGTTTTTGTCCCAAAACTGCTCCCACGGCATAGTCACTAGCATCACACATGACTTCAAATGGGAGACTCCAATCTGGTGCTACCATGATAGGATCGCTGAGGTAAGTTCCTTTTTCAACCTGTTAAAAGCATTCAAGAAATTCTCATCAAAGTTAAAAGGAACATCTTTTTGAAGTAAATCACACAAAGGCTTAGCTATTTTAGAGAAATCCTTAATAAAACGCCTATAAAAGCCTGCGTGCCCAAGGAAACTCAGAATAGCCCGAACTGAGGTTGGTGGTGGCAATTTATCAATGACTTCAATTTTAGCTTTTTCCACCTCAATTCCCTTTTGTGAAACCTTATAACCAAGGACAATCCCTTCTTGCACCATAAAATGACATTTTTCCCAATTAAGCACAAGGTTTGTCTCTTCACAACGCTTAAGAACATGTTCTAAATTAGACAAACACTCGTCAAAAGAAGGTCCAAAAACAGAAAAATCATCCATAAACACCTCAATTATCTTCTCCACCATGTCGGAGAAGAGAGACATCATGCACCGTTGGAAAGTTGCGGGAGCATTGCAAAGTCCAAAAGGCATCCTTTTGTAGGCAAAAGTGCCATAAGGACATGTGAAAGTGGTCTTCTCCTGATCTTCTGGGGCAATGTAAATCTGGTTATAACCTGAGTAACCATCTAAGAAATAATAGTAAGCATGCCCAGCTAATCTTTCCAACATTTGATCAATAAAAGGTAAAGGAAAGTCATCCTTTCTAGTCGCCGCATTCAGTTTGCGGTAATCAATGCACACCCTCCACCCAGTTTGCTTCCTAGCAGGGATCAAATCATTCTTTTCATTGTGCTCAACAGTAATACCTCCTTTCTTTGGAACAACCTGAACAGGACTTACCCAAGGACTATCAGAAATCGCATAAATAATTCCTGCATCAAGTAGTTTAAGCACCTCATCTCGCACAACATCTTTCATGTTTGGGTTGAGTCTCCTTTGATGCTCCACACTGGGTTTGTTATTCTCCTCCATGAGAATCTTGTGCATGCACACTGATGGACTAATGCCCTTAATATCAGCAATGGTCCAAGCAATAGCCATCTTGTGCTTTCTCAAAACTCGTACAATCTTCTCTTCCTGCACACTAGATAAAGAAGATGAGATAATAACAAGATAAGTATTTGATTCACCCAAGAAAACATACCTCAAATGAGAAGGAAGTTGTTCTAATTCCAGCTTTGGTGGTGCTTGGAAAGAAGGTAACAATTTGGGTTTCCTTTGTCGAAATTCTTCAATAGCTAAACATTTATTAAAAGAACCAATACCTTCTAACCTAGCAACATAATCTTGAAAATTTCCAACAACTTCTTCTTCACCTAGAGATAAAGTTAAACATGGGAGAAGAGAATCATCACTTATCATTTTTACCATATTCTCATTCACAGATTCATCTAGCACATCAAGTCTAAAACAAGAATCCTCAAAAGGAAGGCTTTTCATGGCTTTAAAAATACTAGACTCTTCCTTATCCTCACCAATACTTAAAGTGAGTTTACCAGCTGCAACATCAATCAAGGCATGAGCAGTAGCCATAAATGGTCTACCCAAAATCACAGGCACATCCGCATCATATTCCATCTCCATAACCAAAATATCAACAGGAAATATCAACTTACCGACCTTTACCAACAAATCCTCTACAATATCAACAGGATATCTTACCGAACGATCTGCTAATTGTAAAGCAATTGTTGTAGGTTTGAGGCCTTCCAATCCAAGTTTCTTATAAAGAGACAATGGCATCAAATTTATGCTAGCACCTAAATCAGCCAAACACTTGACTACACTCAATTCACCAAAGTAGCAAGGTATAATAAAACTCCCTGGATCCTTTAACTTGGGAGGTAGTTTCCTTTGCAGGATGGCACTACACTCCTCAGTCAAAGGTACGGTAGAATATTCCTCCAATTTCTCCTTGCTTGACACAATCTGTTTCAATTATTTAACATAACTAGGCATTTTGGAAAGTGCCTCAACAAAAGGTATGTTGATATGAATTTTCTTAAACAAATCTTAAAACCTTTTGTAATTGTCCTCATCATGTCTCTTTCTCAACCTTTGAGGATATGAAGTAGGTGGTACATAAGGCTTAACTGGAGATTGAGAAGATTTCTCACTCACTTGACTTGTGCTTACCTCATCGGCATCAGCATCCACAAGTTCAGTTTCCTTTGGAGTGGACTTTACTGTTTTCTCTTTTGTGGCATCAGTCTCCACAAGTTTTCCACTTCTCAAAGTGATGGCTTTGCAATTTTCCTTAGGATTCACCGTAGTATCACTAGGGAATTGGCCATTACCTCTTTCACTTAACTGCTTAGCCAACTAACCAACTTGCACCTCAAGATTTTGTATGGCAGTCTGATTTGATTTAGTCATTTGCATGACCAACTCCTCAATTTTGTCAAGTCTATTCTCAAATGCTGATGCTTGAGGTGGTGGTGCTTGTGGCTGTAGAGTTTGTTGAAACTGTTGTTTGGGCTGCTGGTATCCAGGTTGACCCACAGGTCTACTAGAAGAAGCACCTTGACCCCCCCAAGAAGAATTAGGGTGATTTCTCACCCCTTGATTGTAAGTGTTCGGGTAAGGATTGTTTTGCTGCCTTCCAGTATTAGCAACATATTGAGCCTGTTCTAACTGTGGACACTCAGAACTATCATGATATTCTGCACACCACTCACAACTCATAGAAGGGTTAGAGGGGTTAGAGATAGCATTAATATTAGCCTTGTTCAACATGGTAACAATAAAATCAAGTTTAACATTAAGCATAGTAACACTATCTACCGAATGCAAACCTCTCTTGGATCCATCTCTTTCCCCATAAGATTCTTCATTATTGGATGCCACAGTTTCCATCAATTCCAATGCTTCAGCTATAGGTTTTCTCAATATTGCACCACCTGCAGCAGAGTTCAAATTGGATTTACATGAGATAAAAGACCATTATAAAAAAGTTTGTACCAATAACCATCTGGAACTCCATGGTGTGGACATTTCCGCTGCAAATCCTTGAATCTTTCCCAGGCATCATGAAGGGTTTCGTTGTCACGTTGCCTAAAGCTAGTGATGTCAGTTCTGAGCTTATTGGTTCTCTCAAGTGGGAAGTACTTTGTCAGAAAAGCTGTGGTAAGCTCATTCCAGGTTTTGAAGTGGCATGGAGGAAAGGAATTCAACCAAGCTTTCGCCTTGTCCCTAAGAGAAAAAGGAAATAAACGCAAACGAATTGCTTCATCAGTAACATTATGAATCTTTACCGTATCACAAATTTCCTGGAAATTTGTTATATGCAGGAAAGGATCTTCAGTAGGTCTGCCATCAAAAGGATTTTGTTGGACCATTGTGATGAGGCCTGGCTTCATCTCAAAATTCTGAGCCCAAATAGTGGGCCTGGCTATGCTAGTCCGAGCATTTGTAATACTCGGGATAGCATAATCTCCCACAGGTTTAGGGTCAACTTCTTGATCACCCATGACTTCTTTTTGCTTTTGCTTTTCAAGTTTTGCTTGTTTTCGATTGAATTTGCAGAGTTTCTCAATTTCAGGGCTGTACGGAATAAGAGCTTGAGAATCGGTGGTTGTTCTTGTCATACACTACCTAAAATCTAAGAAAAGAGAAGATAAATGCAATAAAAGTAAAATATAGAAGAAATTAAAAATAGAAATTAAAGTGTCCCCGGCAACGACACCAAAAACTTGATGTACTAAATCTGCAAGTGCACAGAGTCAGTTGAAGTAATAAATCCTAGAGTATTCCAGGACTCGAACCCACAAGGAACAATTAATTTCTATCGTAATTAATTCTATCAAGAAGGAAATTTTGAGAGATTATCAAATAAATTTAAACTAGAAACAATGAAATAGTAAAAGCAGAGAATTTAAATAAGATTTGAGGACAATAATTGGGAAGCTTAGGGCTTCAAGTTTCACCTAATTGGGAAATTACTACCTAACCTATGAATTAAATTGATGCAAAGCTAGAATAGAATTACACTTAATTACCTATGTGCTCCGTCAAGTCTACAGAGGAATACCAAACTAATTAGATTCTCTATCTGTCGATGTCAACCTAATTAACTAGATTCATTAAGAACAAGTAATTATTCACCTATCAAATTAGCCTAAGATTCATGTCTGATCCAGCCTAATTTGTCTATTTTCCTAGTGCACAGATTATGCTTCTCCTGTCAGTACATCACACAATCCCTTAGACAATCTATATGTTGATCAGGCATATAAAGCTCATGAAGAACAAGGAAAATAAATCTAACTTTAAAGAAAATCAATTCAAAACATAAACTAAATAATAATTCCCAATTGGCTACACCTAAAACCCTAATTAGGGATTTAGCTACTCATGCTCATGAATTCAAAACAAGAATTATTATTAAGCATAAGAAAATTCAAGAACATGAGGAAGAAGAAAAAACCCTTGAATAAATCTTGAAATCTTGAAGAGAGCCTCCCAAAAAATCCAAGGTAGAATTTTTGATAAAGAATAAAATACAAGAGCTCTCCCTTTTATAGGGATACAAAATATAATTAATTAAAATCCTAATAGGACTTGGAATAAGAGAATTCTGACTTTAATAGTCCAAAATTCGTAGGAAATAATTATTGGTTAAAAATAGGTGAAGACCCATCAAAAATAGGAGAAAATCTGATCAAATTCGGGTCAAAATCGGCTGACCCGCGCGCGGCTTGCACCAGGAAGTTTGCGCGTCCCAAAATTGGTCTTACCCACGCGCGGATTGTTCCAGCGTACAATCTTCATGCGCAAAATTTTAATCCCAAATGTTTTGGACAAATCCTCTTTTTGTGCTTCCAACTTCTATTTTCCTTTGATTTGGTTCCTTTTCTTCATTTGATCTCCAATTAAGTCTAAGAAAGAAAATCGAAGGAAATTAAGTATCAAATAATCAAAATAACTAATAAAAGCACCAAAATAATATCAATAATTATGTAAAATTAAGGACTTATCAGAAGTCAATGCTACTTTGACCAGTGATCGGACCAAAATTATGCATCTTTTTATGGTCATTTTCCTATGCTTTTAGAGTATTTTATGCTTGATTATGCCTTATATTTGGTAGATTTTTGTTTATAGGTGTTAAAGTGAAGAAAAGTGCAAAATCACCATTTTTGTACCTTTTTGAAGCCTTTTTGGATGATTATTTACACAAATATTTTCCAAGGACATTGTGGATGAAGAATGGAGTCATTATGTTCGTGATTGAAGAGCTTGAAGAGTCAATTTTATCATCATAAGATTGATTTTCAAGATTTTGAAGCAAAGGAGCAAAGTTGAGTTTCAAGGCAAGAAGACATGTCAAGTGGCGGACAAGCACTGGAGCACATGGGCCCTGAGACAAACCAGGTGGGGCGCCAGGCTTACCACATGGGCGCCCAGCGCCAATCGGGGGTGCCACCCAGCAAGCACATGGGCGCTGTCGACATGGGGCCTAAGGCCAACGCCCTGGGCGCACAAGACATCCGTATGGGCGCCCAGGGGAGTCGGGGCCACCACATGCCTTCGCGTGTCACTTCCTCTTGAAGCTTCTCCAATTGTTTCAAGATTTGGCGACCTTTATGTATTTTGGCCATAACTTTTGATCCAGAGCCCCGTTTAAGGCGTATGAGTAGCCGTTGGAAAGCTAAGTCCAAGATCTACAGCTTTCGTGTTTTTGTTGAAGCCAGTTCGAACATTTTCATGGACGAAAATCCCCTGAAGTCAGCGGACAGAAACTGTCCTAGGCCTTTTATGCGGGATTGATCCAAGTAAGCCCAAATTCTTATTTGGACTAGCTTGAAGACTTGGAGAACAGCCCAACACGTCCTTATGGTTTGTTTAAGCTCTAAATTAGCCCTAAGCCACCTCTATAAATACCCTCTTAAGTCTAGAACCCTAGCCAACCTCTCATAAAACTTTTCTACATAATTTTCCCTAGTTTTCTAGGTCTTGCGCCGTCAAGGAGAGGGAGGAGGCAGCCGGCCTCCAAGCATTGTAAGTCTCTCATGGATTGCTTGCAATCTATGAGAGGTTAAACCTTTATACTTCTTTTCCTTAGGTATTTTTGATCAATAAATCTATGGTGAGACTTTTGTTCTTAATAATTTGAGCTTTTTCCGTTTGAATATGTTTCTTATCTCTATGCTTCATCTTATCAATAAAGTTATGAATTTTATTCTCTACTTATTGAGTAAACTTTGATCTTATTATGAATAAAGTTATGAATTTTATTCTCTACTTATTTAGTAGAACTGACCTACCACGTCTATGGGATCAATCATTGAAATGATGAAAACCAAACAATTTCTTTAGGGGAATTACTAAATACCTCCTCCTTTTACTAGGCACCGCCCCCCCTTGGACTATTTTGTCCTTTCCTTCAAACTTCAAAATTTTCAATTCTCTCAAATTCTCTCAACCTTCAAACTTTCAAATCTCAATCATTCAAGCTTGCTAATATTGACATATCCATACCAATTTAAACTAAATGAATTGCCCAATACTTATTAAAGAACAAAAGGAAACTAAAGGAAAATCTTTAGGAGAAGAAGAAGAAGAAGAAGACGAAGAAGAAGAGGAGGAGGAGGAGGCGAGATGGAAATTGACGTAGGGAAGTTTGGTATTGATTTATCATTCATGTGGAATAATAAAACCTAATGCTTGTTATATGAAGGGCTTAAACCATAGATTATAACATTTGAGGTTAATTGCAGTGAGATACAGATTAATCTATTTAGCATGTTGTAATTAGCATTACGTCTGTTCCTATACCAATTATTCAAATGGAGTTGTTTAAGATATTAAGAGGATTACTTTGTTTCAATGAAAGTTGATGTCTACGTCTTAGGCTATATACCGATTTGGGATGATTTATGATTCTTAATTGATTGCAATTTAAGTCAAATTGATGCTTTGTGTCTATGATCCATGATTCACTTGATCAAAATAATTACCTAAAGGAGAAGAAGTATGCTTTTAATTAATTGTTTCTCTTAAATTGCTTTCTTAGTCATTAGTTTAGATTTATATAATTGTTTTCTAATTTAGTTTTTCTATTTTGAAAATCCATAGAAATTCCCCTTTGGTAAGATTTTCTTTAGTATAGTTTGTTCTTTGATTTGCTCCTACCTTCTCTATGGATTCGACCCATACTTGCCCTAGCTAGTAGTTATTGGTTTGTGGGGATTATTTTGTGATTTGTTAAACGACCGATCACAATTTTGGCGCCGTTGCCAGGGAAAGAGTTGAAAGATCTTGTTGATGACCAACTTTTGGAACCTATAGATCCAAATTTATTGGAGGTCAACAAATTTCTTGAACATGAAAGCTATGGAGAAGAGGAATGGATATCCATGGATCAATTCCTTTTGAAGGATAAGGAGATTAAACAAGATGAGGACACTCCAAAAAGGCGAAGAAGAAGCAATCAAGGATGCTGAAAGCTCTTATTGCATCAACCTCTAACGGCAACAAAAATGGCATTGCCATTCATAGCCATTCATGGGGTCGCTTTCAACAAAATTGGTGAATTGTTTCCTTATCTCCTATTTTGTTGTGCTCATATTCTTCCTATCTTATCATATCTACTTTTTGCTTTGAAGTGGTATGATCCACCTTAACAAAGGGAGATGGAGAAAAGTCTAGCCAAAGACAATAAACAAAGGCAAGAGTTGAAAGATCTTGTTGATGACCAACTTTTGGAACCTATAGATCCAAATTTATTGGAGGTCAACAAATTTCTTGAACATGAAAGCTATGGTGAAGAGGAATGGATATCCATGGATCAATTCCTTTTGAAGGATAAGGAGATTAACCAAGATGAGGACACTCCACAAAGGCGAAGAAGAAGCAATCAACGATGCCGAAAGCTCTTATTGCATCAACCTCTAACAGCAACAAAAATGGCATTGTCATTCATAGCCATTCATGGGCTTGCTTTCAACGAAATTGGTGAATTCTTTCCTTATCTCCTATTTTGTTGTGCTCATATTCTTCCTATCTTATCATATCTACTTTTTGCTTTGAAGTGGTATGATCCACCTTAACAAAGGGAGATGGAGGAAAGTCTAGCCAAAGACTATTAACAAAGGCGCTACTTGGGAGGCAACCCAAGACACTAACATCTATCCTTTTCTTTTGAATTTTCTTTTTCTTAGTTATAGGTCACTTTGCATTATCAATTCAAGGGAATCCATCAAGCAATGGAGACGAGGAAAGGAAGCACACATGAAGAGCAATTGGAGCTTACAATTTGCAAAAATAGAGAAGCTTTCTTGAACTCTAATCTCATTTAATTTCCTATGTTTGATTGATGATTGATGCATATCAATTAATTTTCTTGAATTGAATGTTTTTCCATGCATATTATCATTGTATAATTATCTCATGCATCTCATACATATAGACTCTTAAGTGATAAGAACATAAGGTCAATCTTTTGATGGTTATCAAGTGGAATTTTTGGTGAAAATCAAGTGTTTTTGGATTGAAGAAATTGGGAAATTTATAAGGTTTTTGGATGCCAATTGAGTTGAAGTTGGAATTGAGTTTGGTAGCAAAAATTGCAAAATTGGAGCAAAAA